CAGGGGAGGACAGGGGAGCTTGGAGATTTCTCATCTGTGGGGTTGTCATGAATCAGGGTCAACTGAAGGGCAGTTAACAGCGACAAAGTGCTAAAACCCCTCCGACTTTTACATTTGTTATTACTGCTATTGAAATTAAGATTGGAACTTGTTATTTATGTAACTGTGCATCCTGCTGTTTACATTTCATTTTGCTATATAAATGCATGACTAATTATTAAAAGTCTGGCCTCTTGAGGTGTATCATGCAAGTGAAAGATACTTCTCTTGGCCTTAGCTAAATGAACAGCAGAAGTTTTTTAAAAAGCACACAGAGAAACACGCAAACACTGAAGTACTAGTGTTTCTTCATATGAAAAATAAAAATTTCCCTTTATCATGTGAAGTAATCCAATATTCATATGGCCCTTGTGGGTTCTTGATATTCACTGTAGTTTTGACATATTGCTGGAGTTGTTTGTCTAATGGTACTTTCTAGGAGACTGCTGGTTATTTATAATTTGAGCTTTTATGTATTTTAGCAAATGTTTGTGAAAACATCTAGTTAATTAGAGACATGGAGTTTAAATGCTAATTATAAAGACAGCACTGTTTCATTACTGTTTATTGCTTCCTCTGTTTTTGCTTTGTAAAAGCCAACTTCTTAATACCACATTTGGAGCTCAGTGATAAGTGTTTTGAGGAAGTGGATTACATTATCTTTTATTCTTGTATGTTGTGGTTCTTTCTTTGTTTTGTAAATTGTCAAGAGAACTTGGACTGTTGGACAACAGAGGAGTATAATTTAAATAAATAAAAAGAGTTGTGTACCACATGGGACTATTCTTATGCATATACTGTAAAATGGGCCAGCATCTCATTGAAATGGAAAATTGCACCTTCTAATACTGGCGAGGAGCTGTGAAATGAAATATTACAGTTTTTTAATGTATATATGTTGAACCTTGTTGTTTTCCCCTCCCCTGCAAAATGAACCTGATTTCCACCATTGTGAGAATTTGATAGATATTCCACAACAATCTGTACCTACAAAAACTGTAGACACTACTAGGAACTTAGAAGTCTGACATAGCTATACACTGTCAGCATTGGTCTGCAGGTAGTTGAGGCAAATATGAACCAAGTCCCTGGTAAAATCAGGCAAAGGAGGGCAGCATTACTAACAAATTCCAGAAATGTTTTCCCAGAAGGTCAAAGCATATGAAGAACCAGACAAATGTTAATGCAATGGCATCTTTTCCACTGAAAAGGCTCTAAGGCGGACATATTTGGAAGGAGTGGGGAGGTGGGGCTATTTAATCCCTATTCTGCCAGTGTAGTTTCTCCAAAATGTCCCCCTATAAGTTGCTGAAACATATTCAACACTCCTAGCGATGAACAAAAAGTTGAAGCAGAAAGTGATTTCTTTGGAGTGTCAAAAAGAGGGCTGATACAAGTTTTCCATTTATTCCCTACTCAGCCGTCACTTATTCCGGTTCCAGCCCTAGCCATATAATCAGGTGTTGAACCCATACCCTTTGCTCCTTCTCTTGCTTTGGGATCTCCCTGGCAAGCAACATCGGATTTTTTTAAATCCCCAGATACACATTAGTTCTACATTTGCTGCACTGAACTCATAGTTATAAATAGAATAGCAATTGGATGTGTGGCATGGTAGAGTCCAGATTGATTTACTGATGATGAGAAATGCAGATTCTAAACAACCTTCTGAACTCTATATTCTGTTATGGAATTATTTTTTTCCAAGAAGAATTGCTATCTCCAGTGAACTCCACATAGTCCTTCTCCTCCCACTGTAGAGACCCTGTGAAATCTGCAGTTGTAAATGGGTTTCTACCAACTTTTTGCATATACAGTGGAAAGAAGGAGAAATAGACTTTTTTATTTTAAAAAAACAGTATTAAAAGCAGTGGGAAAGCAGGATGCTATTTTGCACAGTTCGGAGGCTAGTCTACTCAGTTTTCTGCATTTGGTGCAATGCTTTTGGCACAATGCAGCACATGGAGGTGCTTCACAGGAATAAACAGAGTTCTGCCTTCCACTATTGGGCATGCAAGATCATATCCAGGACATTGATTCCAAGTGATGCCCTGTCTTGCTTCTCCTGAAGGCATCTTCACATTTCTTCCCCAGGGTGCATACAGATCCCAGGAAAAGCAAGCATAGAGTCACAAGGAGGTCTGCAGGAGAACACAGCTGTGGATAGTTGTTGAGGGAAGGATGCAACAAAGGACTTTATCACACGGGGAAAATCCAATACAGAAATGGGATTTAAATGGAAAAATATTCGCAAAAGCAAGTAGATTCTCACACGACGTCGATGTTAAACTGTGCTTAACCCAAACGGAAAGTAGTCAAATGCTGCTTCTTTTTTACTTTCTGAAAATCCCAAAAGTAAAAAGAAGTGGCTTTTCACTACTTTCCGATTGGTTCAGCACAGTTAAACATCGATGTGTGTGAAAATCTACCCACTTTTGTGGGTTCTCCCAGCTTTTAAATCCCGTTTCTGTATGATAAAGTCCATAGTCTGCCTTGGGATCAGTGGTCTGGTCCCATTACTGCATGCCAGATGTGGCCTGGCAGGACAAGAGAATTGCAAGTAGTTCCATGCTACTTTGGATGTATGTGCTGGGCAGTTGTACACACTTGTTCACAGCAACGCTGCAATTCCTGAAGGTAATCAACAGATTTCCAAGTAAATCCATGAGTATTCCATAATTGGATTGGACTTTAAGATAATCCTAAATTTCATTGGAACAGCCATAAGGATATAGTATTGTGTTCAGCAAGCCTTTTGCCTTCTTTTGTTTAATGCTGCCAAGACAGCTTTCTATCCTAAATTATGTTTGTAACTTGCATATGTGGATATTAAAATGTGCACATTTATATTATATGGTTTACATTTTGCATCTTTTATTTAAGTGAAGTGTACTCTCATAATTTGTGTATGAAGTACTGAGAACAAGTGAAGGCTATATCCCCCCACCCCGATCCTTTTCAAAATAGTCTGTATTTTAGAGAGCATAAAAAGTTGTTTTTAAAATGTCACTATTGTTTGGTAGTTGTGGTAAGGAAGCTTGCTCTACATAATTTGCATGCATCCCACAGAGAGCTTATTTGAATATAGTTAATCATTTGCGAGATAAGGGTGTTGAATTGTAACCGCACACCATGTGAAAGTGAAAAAAAGCTATTTCCAGCTAATCTGCTCCTCCACCCAGGAAACAAAAAGGGTGTGACCACCTAATCTAACAAACAATAGTTTTCGCATCTTCTGATTTGTTTTAGTTTTTTTGCAGTATACATTAGTGATTCCTGCATGACTGTTCAGAGGTAAAACAATTTATGTTAAATCTGCTGTGAGATTTAAAAAGTCTGAAATGCTGAAACTTAACACTGAGCCTAATTACAACACTGCTAGAACCTTTTAACCTTGTTTGTTCGGTTGGGGACACTGCTGTAGACATTTGATCCAACAGATGAATGTATAATTTTTTATCCTTTGTGGATACTCTTCAAGCCCAGCAACGGTGGAGAAATTTATATTAGCTGCCAGTTGTGTTAGGAAGCTGTTTGATAGCTTTCATCAGGAATCCAGCCCACAGCTTCAGGTCATGAACTGGTGACCTGAGTGCTGGCAGGTGGCCATTTAGTTTGTGCGCCCCACTTGGCTTTAGCCAAAGGGAGATGGCAACACCAGCTCAGGAAATGCCATGCACCAGTAATCCCAGAGCAGTCAGTTGAGACTTTATGAGATCCTTGCTATTTTGGGGAACAAAGAAATATATTCTTGCTGCTCTCAGGCTTGCCCTTAACCTTCCTCACACTCAGCATTTGCCCTCCTCCTCCACCACTATCCAGGAAGCAAACCTGCCCAGTTTTCTTTTCAAACTGTAGTAGTTCTCTCATCGGTAACAATACTATCATCTACATCCTGAAGTTCTACAGTCCTATTTTGTAAATCGAAGGCTATGTTTTACTACAGGTAACAAGGGGCTAGCAACATGGGCAGCAGCCACTGATTGCTTTCTGCTCCCCAGAGATGCCCTACCCCATCTCACCTACCTGCTATTGACTCCCCTGCAGGAGCCAAGAGGCTGATAAATGGTACAGATTGTTAATTAAATAATATGGAAGGTGCTGCCAATGCTTTTATTATTATTCAGACTGTCAGGGAGGGAATTAAAAGCCTTTGCTGGTGTCTTGGCTCACTCGGAGGATTTATTTATTTTATTTTATTTTATTTGGTAGTTGTTGTGTGCCTTTAAGTTTCTGACTTACGGCAACCCTGTTTTGGGGGCTGAGAATGTGTGACTCACCCACACTTACCCAGTGGGTTTCCATGGCTCAATGGAAAATCGAACCCTGGACTCCAGGATTGTGGTCCAGTGCTCAGATGCTTACACATTGCTGGCTCTAGAGATACATAATCAAGAACAAGGACTGACACTGAGTCCCAAATGAGAACAATTTAGACTGGATCTGGTTTGCTGGCTCACTGGCGCTTGCTCAGTGGAAAGTATTCTGTCAGATGTGATTGCCTGTCCAGCCTTGCTTACATCTCCTTCTAACCCCATGTTGTGTTTCTTCCCCACACCAGTATTTTAACATGTATGTTTTAGATAATCCTCTACCCAGCCAATAATCTTTTTTTTTCCAGGTCCAAGTCCTAACTAGCTCCAATAAATGGGGCAGATGTGCAACTCCGTTGCATACATGCATTTTTCTTCTTCTTTTTTTTTTTTTTAAAAAAGAGTATTTATTAGATTTTAAAAACCTTTATTCATCAGCATAGATCAAATGAGGAAAACAAAAATAATGTAAGATTCATTGAATGATGAGCAAAAAAAATAGTAATAGTTGGTGGAAGCAATTGCAGACATTGCAAGAGAAGTATTGATACAGTATAGCAGAATAGATACAGTATAGATTTATACAGTATAGCATTCAGACTTCCAAATGTAAAGATATTGAGATAAATACAAATACTAGGCCTGAGAGGCAGTGTGTCATAGTGGTTTGATTGTTGGATTATGACTCTGGAGACTAGGGTTCAGATCCCTACTTGGCCATGGAAACTCACTGGGTGATTTTGGACAAGCCACACTCTCTCAACTTCAGGGGAAATCAATAGCAAACCTCTTCTGAACAAGTTTTGCTAAGAAAGCCCAATGATAGGGTTGCTATAAATCAGAAACAATTTGAAGGCACACAACAGCAACAGCAGCAACAACAACAACAACAACAACAAGAGGCTTATCTAGAGGAGACTTGTGGAATGGTTTGCATAAGTCTTGGTTTATCTTCAAGAGTTGATTTAGCAGTTCTACACTATTTGGGACTAGCAAGAGGATTTAAGTTTGTTGTAACATTCCATAAGAATATGCAGTAATGGAAGAATACATACTTATATATTCATTAACAGTTGGTGGCTTCATTTTCAATGGAGTGGGAGCTATTTAATATGATGAATCTGCTTTAGTGACCAATGTTTGGAGTAAAATATAGAGCAGATTGACACTCCAGATGCAAGAAACCCACCAGCTCCCACTGTGTCTGTTTTCTTCTAGGTGTGTAATGGAGGCTGCATCTGCACTGCAGAAATAATACAGTTTGACACAATCTTAACTGCCATGGCTCAATGCTATGAAATTCTGGGATTTGTAGTTTTGTGAGATATTTAGCCTTCTTTATCAGAGAGCTCTGGTGCCACACCAAACTACAAATCCCAGGATTCCACAGCGCTGAGCCATGGCAGTTTTAGGGGTCTCAGATGACATTAATTCTGCAGTGTCTAGAAGGGATCACATTACTCTGATTCTGAAATCCCTTAACTGGCTGCCTATTAGTTTCTGAGCGCAGTATAAGGTGTTGGTGTTGACCTTTAAAGCCGTACATGGCCTAGGTCCAACCTATCTGAGGGATCGCCTCCTTCCATAAAATCCACCCCACACCCTCAGATCTTTGGGGAGGAACCTACTCCAACTAAGAAAAACAAGACTAGTGGGAACCTCCCAGAGGCCCTTTTCTATCATCGCTCCCAGACTATGGAATGCCTCGCCGGAGGAGATCCGTCAAATTACCAGTTTGGATAATTTCAAAAAAGCCATCAAGACGGATCTCTTCCGGAAGGCCTTTCCCGAATAGAATGTACTCTATTAAATTCCTACCTCTCCCTCTTTTATACTTTATATTTGCTGGTATTAGAATACCAGACATTTTAACTATTTTAGCTGTGTTTCTAATTTATCATGTTAGTTTGTTGTAGGGACTGTTTTTACTTATGCTAACAACGGAAGCCGCCTTGCTTGCCATGGCAAAAGGCAGGGTACAAAAATAAAGTTTATTATTATTATAATCTGAAAGAAAAAAAACAATTTCAAAATGTTCTATAATTTCAGTGGCTGAGGAAGCATGACTTGACAGTCGCAACAGTAAAAAAAGAGATACTGTTTATTATCCTATGATCTCCTGTATTTCACAGATGAAAATAACTAACACATTTTCATGCTTTGTAAGCCCTCCTACTTTCTCCACAATTACACACCATGAAAGGCTTTTTCACCCCCTGATTGGGTGCTCTGTTCATTTATTCTCCATTAGCCATGTCCTCCTCTGGTTGAAAGAAACATCAAGAGGGCACCTGTTCTTTTGCTCTATGATACATGGGGAAAGCATCACTCTCCTAGTAAATGCTATCATCAATTTAATATAGTTGCAATGCTTCAATAATATGTGGAATGGCAGGGCATATTCCCTATTGCTAAGGTGTTCATCTGTATCATAATTTAAAAAATAAATAAATCTATACTGCCTTTCAGAGCAAAACCTCTCCAAAGCAGAGCCAGGATACATTTACTCACTTTCTTAGTGATTTAATCATGCCAAACATCGTCCAGTTTAAGGAAAAACAATAATTCAATGGTAGGTACATGCTTTATATCCATTATAAGCTGGTGTTCAATGCTTGGCACAATCTGATAAGCTCAGCAGTAACTGGAGGAGAATCATGACTTCTACTATACAACAACATCTATAGGGCCACAATAATTCAATGGTAGGCACATGCTTTATATGCCTTATAGGGCACAGCTTGGTGGACTGGGTTGCTTTCAACTTGGTAAGTTACAAATTGTGCAGATTTATGATATACTTGGTGTCTACTGACTATATAATACAAGACTTTGCTTTGGAGAGCATGTTTGAATAGCTTTATTCACAAAGTTGTGTTGTTTTCATATTTAATCCACTTGCTACTATAGCAGCCACTTGACACCATTTTTTTTTTCCGTCTGAGATATGCATGAAGCTACAGATAGCACTTTTTGCTGCTTCCAAGAGGTTTTGATTGAGATTGTGCTCCAAGCCAAACAGATCCTCAAGCAACACTTACCGTAACTGCTGAACAGAAGAGATTAGGAATTTGTAAAATCTCATTTTCAAATATAGTGCCCATATTTAAACTGAGCTGAGCAAAAGGGAAGAGCAGCATTGGTGGAAAAGCAGCATCAAAACATAACACCCATAAAACCTCTTTTTCAAAAAAGAGAGGAAAACATATCAAGCCAAAACTTAGAAAATAGAAATTTACTGTAATACAAAATACATCCAGAGCATGTTGTTGGGTTGTTTTCTACAGAAGCAAGAAAATCTCACAGCACCTTGTTCCATGGGCAATGACAACATGTTCAAAATTGGGGTGGCAAATCTTCTTTCAGCCTGAGGATGTCATTCCCTAATTTATAATTTTCCAAAAGCCAACAGTGTGTTAGGTCATTGGCAAAAATGCAGAACCATACAAACACCAAATTCACACACATCCATAGATTCAAACACTTTCACATATATCCATATATCATTTCACTCTGTCTCCCAATTACCCCATTCTTTTGGTCACCCCATTAATGTCTAAGATTCTCTTCAGTCAGCTAGTTCATATGACCTTTTTATGCCACTGCTTTAACTTCAGTACTTTTTTCTTCCTAGTCATGCAGGTTTTCTCTGACTTCACAGAACATGTGCTTGCAGGAATCTCACACAGCCAGGTTTATGACGCACCACTAGTCTGGCCTCAACCCTTTGAGGTACAACAAAGCAGTCCCTTGAGCACTGTGGAGGACAGTGGCATCTCTGTACCTTCAAGACACATACCCAGCAGCCACCACAGCTTTTGTATATTGCAGTTGGTACAATACTCAAAAATAGGCCTGCATCAGTCTTGACTATGCCTTTGGTTCCTCCTGAAATTAAGCTCATTATATAGAACCAAACTTGTCAAAGTGACTTTTTGGGGACTATTGCTCCCTCAGTCTCTCAACCAGCATCACCATGCTGATTGGGGGATTCTGGGTGTTGGTGTCCAAAAAATGATGTAGTCCCACTCAATCCCTGTGCAGAACATATTTGACAGGAGGCTAAATCTAGTACATGATCTGCATAAATGAACAAATGCTTGTATTCATAGCAAAAGCCCTTCAGTATTTCTGAATGCATGTCAAGTGCTTAGTCTCAAGCGTGCTTCGCCCTCCCCTTACTTTCACCACAAAACAAGTCAGAAATATTCAGCCATGCCACTTGAAGGCCTTGAGACAACAGTGCCCATTGAAAGCACCCGAAGCTGCCCTGCAGGGACCAGCAGTGGGAAGGTCTAAGGAAGAGAAGCCTTGGAGTCGATTGGGTTGTACAGCAGGCTGGAGGTTTAAGAGACTTCCTACCATAATACCATAAGAGTCAGTAGCACAATATTGCCCTAACCTCCAAGTTTGGGCTAATTGTTATCACAGAATGTAGTCATATGGAAGAGCTCTGGGCATGGGTGTGTAACTACAAGAGAGAGAAATTATAATTTGTTTCCTGTCCCTTTCCCAGTTTTTTCTCCTCTATACAATGCAGTCTGTCAGTAATTTGGAAAAAGGATGAGTCTGGTGGAAGGCTATTCATGTAGGTTCCTGATTCTTGCTGGGGCAGCTAGTGACATTCATTTCCAAGGGCACCTATCTTTCTCATCAGGATTTTTTTTTAAATGCCATGCTTAAAATATCTTAAAATGTTATATTGTTATGAGCTATTGGCACAGACACAAGACTTGTTCTCCTGCAAGCAGAGGAGTTCCTTCTGTTCACAGAGGGGTCTTTGTCTTGGAAAGGCACAAGTCAGAAGTGGGGAGGGGAGGCATTTTAGCAGATTTACCCCTCTCTGCTGCAACACCTCATGTTACCTCCCACACTGCTTTCCTTCCGGTGCAGATGTTTCAAAAGGGACACAGTAGACTGAAGAGAGGAGGAGGAATTGCCAAAAATTACCTTTACATTCCCTTCCACCAGTGAGAGCATCCAGTGAACAGAATTGGATTCACTGCATATGATTTTGATTTCAACATTTATAACCATATATATAATCTTATAATCCCTCTTGCTTAGTTTTCTCCCACTCTTTCAAACAAGTAAATCCATTCTTCCTTGGATAAGATTATTTTTAGTTCTTGTTACTTTCTTCCCCCATTTTTTGTCTTTAAGCATATATACTTGTATATCGTGCAGTACTACGGTAGTTGTTGACTATTTAGCTCTGGATATGATAGAAACCATGCCTATGAGATGAAATAATAATGAGCCACCCTGAGTCCCAGTTTTGGGAAAAGGGTGGGAAAAATTGTTGTTGTTGTTGAATGACCCTGGCTGCATCCACACTGCCTAAACAATCCGGTTTGACACCACTTTAACTGATCTGGCTCAATACTAGGAAAGTCTGGTAACTGTAGTATTGTGAGACATTTAGCCTTCTCTGTCAGGTGCCACAACAAACTACAGCTCCCAGAATTCCATAGCATTGAGCCATGGCAATTACAGTGGTTTCAAACTGGGTTGTTTTTTGCAGTGCGGATGGAGCCCCTGATTTCAAGACATTTGCAGGGCAGATTGTTGTTCTTTGAGGGTTGAATGCTTTCCAAGATTTTTTTTTCTCCAGTACTCTGGAGGCAACTCTGATCAGAGCACTTATGGGGAAATGATTGAACGGTCCCTTGTGTTTCACCTGAGAGCACAACTGACATGGATAGGAACATGCAGTTATG